TTTTTAGGGTTTTATTTTGTTATAATAAACAAAAAAATGGAATATAATTTTTTTATCCGATTAATCGATTAATCGAAAAAATAATCGTCCGATTAATCGATTATCAAAATAATCGTTAGTTGCAGCCCTAGTTTCTATTGCAGTGACTTTTTGTTCGGCAGACAGGGTGACCATCCTCGATCAAGTTTCCCTCAGGACTTTTGTAAAACCCAAAATATGACCACACCTCAGATTTGGTCCTCTTAAAAGGCTGAAAAATCTCCTGAGCACGGTCACTACCTTCCGCCATTCCTTCTCGAATAGTAATTAAAAAAATATTGTGTTCTGCGCGCCTGCATCAGGATTTAGGGAGTTATTAAAATCGCGATAATCAAACACGGTTTTAATGATAATTACATTTTAAACGATAATACTAACCGTCAGTACATTTTATCACGGTTTATAGTGAAACCGGTTATCGTCCCATCCCTACAAGACATTTTATTATTACAATGTACATTTTTTCCACAATGTACCTGGTGAGTCAGCCCTCATATCTCCTCCAACAATGACCTTTTCCCTTTGAGCTAACTGCTGTAGCATCTCATCCTGCCAGTTTCTCCATTTGTGAACAATAGCAGGCTCAATGCACATTCGTGCATGGCGACGAAAGGTGTCGTACTTGAAAAGATGTAACTTCATAGCTGCAAATATCTGACAACAAATAGAGAAAAACTGGTAAACTATAAAATAATAAACATAATAATTATACATTGTAAATGTTTAGTCTTGTGTACCTGCAAAGCTATTAATAATTTATGTTACTATTACCTTTTCAATTGTCACAAATGAAGCACCACTGAGATACACAGCAGCAGAAAGGTGAAGGTTTCCAGCTGGAGTACTGCCCAAAATCGGCTGACTGCTCCATTTACGTGTGAACTGACAATGGTGGCAGAGTTGTTCAACACGTAGAAAAGTTCCAATCCTTTGTGATCTTGTATGACAGCTTCTATGACATACCGGGCACATCTCAAACAGTTCCATGATACATGTCTCATAGACAATATATTTACAGATTTTCTGAATAGGGCTGGATGCTAGTGACCTGAAGAAAAAAAACAATCAAAAAAAAAATAAAAAAAAATCAATATAAACACTACATAAAAATTAGTTATGTTATAATTAAAAGCAAACATTTTTCTAAAATATAATATAAACTTACGAGAAGTCTTTTTGCTCTGTTGTTGATGTTTCAGCCTCTGTGACATCACTCTCTTGTGCAGTTATTATTGTAGAGCATTCCTGTAGGATATCTTCATCTTCCTCAAGGACCAGACATGGTCTCTTTGATGAAGTCTTGAGGGGTGTGGAAGACGCAACAGCTGTATGCGAAACTACTTTTGTAGTATCATCAAAATTTGCCAATGTTGTCTCTGTCTGGACACCTGAAATATACAATTTATCAAAGCGTCAGGAAATATTCACTTTCTTTTTCGTGGGTATTCAATTCAACTGAAATGCATTTGTATATTGCTTCATTTTTAAATAAACTTTACAGAAAATGAATATAAAAATTCAGTTATTTAAGAAAAAACGTATAATACTATATTGTATATTATGTAATATAAGTATAGTTAAAAACATCAACATACTGATACTCCTGTGGTGAGTTTGTAGCGTCCTCATTGATAGTTGTGTACCAACACTGCACAGCTGTGATGTTTGTGTCTGCACGCCAAAATCCCTACAGCTTCGTGTCGATGTGCTGGCCTTTGTAGAAAAATAATAATTTTGATATCTTGTTTTTTCCGAAAACAGACTTTTTAATACTTCATAAACATATGCAAACGAGTGGTTACTTAAAAGGTATAAATTAAAATACACTTACTTCTTCGGGAGGTGTCGTTGGATCGCGAACAGTAGGGAACGATCCACTCTTGAGGATTAATTTTGAAGCAAGACCTGCTTTAAATTGACCCTCGTTCAAAAAACAGTCACTCTCAAAATGATTTGAGCAAACGTAAACGTACTTCGGGAGTGTAAGAGGCGCATTTCCTTCATTAATAAAATCCATCCACTGCTTTTTCAGAGGCTCCGATGTCGGAAGCGAGTACACAGAACTATGCACAGTATTACAGCCCGCAACAGAACACTTATGTTTCTTACGAGACATTTTCTGGAAGGAATCACAAATCTTCAGAACAGCGGTCCGGCTGTCGTTGAAACAACAATGGCGAATCTGCACAGATCACCGAGGGAGGAGTCTATGCCTCAATCACAATGTCAATCAAAACCCTTTCTCCTTTTCTACGTCACTAATAGCTGGATCTCAGAACAGCTCGTTCTGAGAGAGTGCTTATGATTTTTGGAGATTGTAAAAAACCCACTTGCTGAATTTTTATCACTCTAGGGTGGTTTTGCTCACACACTGCCAACATACATTTATGTTCAGACGGATTTTGTATAATAGGTGCCCTTTAAGTCAGTCTCAGTGAGTGAAACACTGACCAGCGCAAGATTGTCATCTGTGGCACACAGTTCAAACAGCCATGCACATTAATAACTATGATTGGAGCTGTCATACACGACATTATAATGAGGATACTGTTATAATAAAACGTTGGGTTATCTGGGTTTAGTTGCCGTTTCTTTCAGAGCGTTGTTGTGGGAATAGCCCATCCAGAACAGGGATAAGAGCAGTCAAATAACGGTCACTAATGTTAGACAACCTATTGTAATGTTACATTCAATATTAATTATTTATTTTAAATAGCTTGTAAAAACGATTAAATTGATTTAAACACTTTAAATGCTTAAAACACAAACCTGTCTTAAGCAGAATCACAACAGATGCAGGAGCGCGGCGCAGCCGTATGACGTCATCATTCCACCCCAAAATAAAAGTCTTATTCACGCAGTAAAATCTGAAGTGTGCGTAGAAATTGACCTACAAATAATAATGCACCAAATATCAGCTGCGTTCAAAATTCTTAGTCTAATACATATTTAAATGAATGCTGATCAATGATATTAAAGAGTTTAAACAAAACCTGATTAAAACCTATACATTATCATTAATAAATGATCTGAGAACTAACTGGTGCTTTTTTTTTTTTTTTTTTTTTTTTTTGACCCTTTAAGATTTTTCTGTTCCTGTTAAGAAGAGCAGGGAAAAAGTGAAGCATGGAGTGCTATTTGAATGTATTTATTTGTTTCTACTGAAAAAAAGTAACATACACTCATAACACAACATCTGTCTAGCACATGTTATGTGTTGCTCCTCTATGTTTTTATTTTATTACTTGGTAATTAAGTGTAGGTAGGTACCCTTAAGGTTGTCACAAAAAAATCTGTTTGACCAGCATCAGCAGCAACCAGCATCATTAATGAGACCATGGTGGTTGACCAGCATCGCCAGCAAGACCATGCTGGTCCACCAGCTAAACCAGCACCAAACCAGCATAGAGCGTTTTTCCAGCAGGGGTGAGATATAATAGCTAAATACTCATATTGGTGTGCAGAAACCAGTAACCAATTACACATTATAACAATAAAGGGTTGTCAATCTAATTAAAAACTAATTTCCGGCCAAAGATTAAAAAATGCAACAATGAATACAGTATCAATGAGTTATCAATAGTGCAAAATTAATACTAATTTTGTGTGTGTGTGTGTGTGTTTAATCTCACTGTTAAACACACATAAACAACATTTATTTTCTTTTGAAACCTTTTTTTTATTCTTATTCAAAGATTTTTTTTATGATATACAGGAAAACAATAAGCATTTCCTTAGTTGGAAAAGCTTTTGTTGGAAAATATATTCTATATTGTCAAAGTATCAATATTTACATTGTTGATCCTTCTTTATAACATCTTCGATGCACTCCAGCATGCTGGATAACAGCTTCTGGGTGAAATCCTCACTGATTGTGATCCATTCTTGCCTTATTAGTGTGGACATGATCACAATTCGTCCACTCGCTTTTTGAGGATTGACCACAGGGTCTCTGTGAGATTAAGCAGGCAATTGATGTTGAAAATACATCAAACTGACATCAAACATTGACATAAAAAACAGCTTCGGGGGGTACAGGTATTGGGGGCACAGCTTTTAGAGGTAGCTATTTCGACTGGTGACGTCAGTCTCCATTTTATATAGGCTTACACATGTCACCGGGTGACTAAGTCGGAACCAAAAATTCAGCGCATAGTCCCCCGGGGAAGCACTTCTGGGGAAACACCCGGCCGGTTCCGGTTTACCGTCATGGCCGACCTAAAGAGCAAACGCGGAGGGGCAAACGCAAAAGTTGGAGGGAAAGGGGACTTGGTGGGCATCTCTGTACAACAGCCTGTTGTACTCTGACATGGTGGGCATCGCAGTACAACAGCCACACTGACACCTGGTAGTGTTGCAAACCCGCTCTTCGCCCCAAACCACCACTGGCTGTTCTACACAGCAACGTAACTTTCATGGTGTTGACAAGACGGGAATATGATGGCAGACATCATGAACAATCTTTCTATGTGCAGTTTGTTAACCCAGTTTCTTTAGTTTCTTATGTTCTGGTGGAGATAAATGGGTCTCTTCCAATAAATTACCTGTATTCTTTCATTTTTGCAATAATTCTACTCCTTTTAATCAGACTATGTAGCCCATTGACATTAAGTGTAATTATTTAATATTCGTGACCATGCATTTACTTGTTTCAATTTGCAAACTTTGTTTATTAGGTTGTCACGGGAAATGTTATACAGAGCGAACAATGTACGAAAAATAATAACAATGAGAACAGTAAAATAAAAGACTTCCAAGTCCGAGGTTTAAACTTGATACGAACTGCCTTGTGCCATTTTAAACTCCACACTAACAAAAATAGTCTCACATCTACCTGTTTTTTTCATTTATCTGTAACTGTGATGGCAAAATTTTTGATAATTTTCACAAAAGTTTCATGGCCCCCAGAATATTTTGTTGTATGAATATCTGAACATGCAATATATCAAAAGGAGGAACAGAGCACGAGCTTTTAAACAAAAAAACATTTTTGTTCTATGGACTCCTTTTTTATCAACACTTGAATGTGTGGAAGTCTAATAAAAGAAACTAAGTTTTTGAGCAAAAAAATGAGAAAAATCATGTGTTTGTCAAAGACTACATCCAGATCGGTTTCAAAGCGATGACCAAAACAAAAGGAGTAGATCGAGTCCATCACCACGACAAAGTTTCACAGTTCTATAGCTCGTCCTGGTCGACATTTCATTCTGTAACATTAGGCAGTTTTGATTTATATGCTGTTGATTGTGTTATTTTACAAAAGCACATGCTTACATTCGTGAAGAGGCAGCAGAAACAAGTAATATCATGCGTCTTGATCCAGAGATTCAATACTTGTTCAGAAGATGTCATTGCACCCCCTACAGTATAACAGTGAAAACACGGAAAGCTGGACATTTTTCTTCAATGGTGGAGTTTAATTTCCTACTTCCAGAGTGAATACACAAATAAATGACTTTGCTTCTTTTTCTAAACTTCTTGCCAGATTGAGGAACACTCAATTCCAGAATGAGTTTCCAAATGACGCTTCAGGTCCCTTTTATACGTGAAACACATTTCACACTCAAGACATGTGTAAGGCTTCTCTCCAGTGTGAACTCTTATATGCGTCTGAAGGTTTCCTTTGTATCTGAAACTCTTTCCACACTGAGGGCAGGTGAAAGGCTTCTCTCCAGTGTGAACTCTTATATGAACCTCAAGGTTTGTTTTGTTTGAGCAAGTCTTTCCACAGTGATAGCACATGAAAGGCTTCTCTCCGGTGTGAGTTATTATGTGCGCCGTAAGATGATTTATATCTGTGAAACTCATTCCACACTGATGACATATACAACGGTCTTCTCTTGAATGAGTCCTCAGGTGCTTTTTAAGGGTTACTTTGTGTCTGAAACTCTTTCCACACTGATCACATGTGAACGGCTTCTCTCCAGTGTGACTGTTCACGTGATACCTCAGGTTTAGTTCTGTTGTGAAACTCTTTTCACACAGTTTGCAGATGTAAGGCTTCTCTCCAGTGTGAATTCTCATGTGCCTGTTAAAGCTTCCTTTTTGAGTGAAACTGTTTCCACACTGAGGGCAGGTGAACGGCTTCTCTTTGCTGTGAACCATCATGTGGCCTTTAAGGATTCCTTTCGTAGTGAAACTCTTCCCACAGTGTTGGCAGGTGAAAGCCTTCTCTCCAGTGTGAATGTTCATGTGGGCTTTAAGGGTTCCCTTTTTAGTGAAACTCTTTCCACAATGAGGGCAGATGAAATAACTTTTAGTTTCTGTTTGTTGGGCTTTTTTTTGTGAGGAATATTTCTCAGTCTGTGAAGAACTAAACCGTTTTTCTCCAGTTGTCGAATCATGATTTCTCTCATACTGATCTCTCTCCTCTATTTCATTCAGTACTTCACTATCCTCTTTGAGTGGCATCGGGTCTAAGGAGAAAAGAGACAAATGCAAGTTAACACCAGTTTAATGACACAAAGCAACAGACAGGTTTGAAAAGCCATCTTTCACACCACTCACCCACTCTGATCTGCACTTCACACATTCACCATCACCTCCTGCATCAAACTCCCATTTATCGCAAAAAAGTTTTTACACTCGCATGAGGAGGTTTTTCAGGCAATTCGAAAAAGGATTTTTCAGGCAATTTGAAAGGATCCCCTTTCTGTAGGCCAATATATATATATATATATATACAGCTCAGCATTGGTGTGGTCAAACTAAAATGTTGGTGTTCAACTTTGCATTTAAAAAATATAACAATCGTTAATTTTTCATTTTGCAATTACGGGTTAAATGAAAACGAATGCAAGTACACTGACCGTTTAGACATAATACGAGACAGAGTTCTTTATTAAATTCATAAAAAAAAACAATAATTAAAGGAATAGCCTACTGGACTCTAAACAACAAAGAAATGCCACAATCAAAAAAGACCTCGGAGCAGAATTGAGGGAGAAACACCCAGGAACTCTGTGTCTTTCCGTGCCATTAATGCTTGGATAACACATCACGTCTCCTTCCATTAAAAATAATAATGTCTAGTACGGTGGCTGTGATATAGGTTAACCTACCAACGTCCGTTGCCATGATTTTTGGAATGACTTATCGCGAGAGGAAAAAAAGATGTTTTAGTCGCATAACATCTGTTAATTACGGTGGCCGAGAGGTGCAAAACAAATCACAATTATGAAAACAAAAAAACAAGTCAGAAAACACAACGACAATTCAGAAAACAAAATAACAATTCAGAAAACACAACAACAAATCTGAAAACAAATTAACAAATCAGAAAACACAAAAACAAATCTGAAAACAAATTAACAAGTCAGAAAACACAACGACAAATCTGAAAACAAATTAACAAGTCAGAAAACACAACGACAAGTCAGACAAAACGGAAAAGGTAGGTATATGTGGCGAATGGAATACTGATCGCTGATTGGACGAGACATCTGTCAATCAAGACATACAGAAAGTACAGCAGACTGCGCCTGCGGCAGAAGAAAGATTGATTCGCATGTGTATGTGTCAATATTAGCTGTCTATTTAGCCGGCTAATTTAGTGATATTATGGAGAACAAAACTTTTCAAATTAAAATCTTCCTACCACTAATTAGTAAACGCAACTCCTTTAAGCTTGCGTTCGGTTATCCACTGGACCACGCTGCCTAGTTCAAAGTAAACTAGTGAAACAACTGAAACCAGCGCTATTTTATTCTCTATTTGTTCTTACTGACCGAGAAACCGCTTCAGATGATTCAGTGACAGAACGGTCCGAACGAATCCGAATCGTTTCCTACTGTTATGCACGCGCGTTTGGCCAATTAGTGAAAAGGAGATAGGAATCGAACCAACGAATGATTAATATCGCTGGTTCAGTCGACAGAAATACGGGACACACATATTAACTGCTGAAATATTCGGACTGAAAACGTTTTTCTCAGGTCAGTCGGAGCGCTCGTGGTACACACACAGTGCGTAGGCTATAGCTGCACGCGCCACTGCGGCCACGCGCATATCAAACCAAATTTAGCCACACCACCAGAAAATAGGAGGGGGAGGTTGGAGTGCTCTCGGGCCGCATGGAGATGATTGGCGGGCCCCACTTGGCCCGCGGGCCGCCAATTGAATAGCCCTAGCCTAGACGATACAGCTAATATTTACACATGCACACGCGAATCGATCTTTCTTCTGCCTGTATGTCTTGATTGACAGATGTCTCGTCCAATCAGCGATCAGTATTCCATTCGCCACATATACCTACCTTTTCCGTTTTGTCTGACTTGTCGTTGTGTTTTCTGACTTGTTAATTTGTTTTCAGATTTGTCGTTGTGTTTTCTGACTTGTTAATTTGTTTTCAGATTTGTTTTTGTGTTTTCTGATTTGTTAATTTGTTTTCAGATTTGTTGTTGTGTTTTCTGAATTGTTATTTTGTTTTCTGAATTGTCGTTGTGTTTTCTGACTTGTTTTTTTGTTTTTATAATTGTGATTTGTTTTGCACCTCTCGGCCACCGTAGTTAATGGAAACTAATGGAAACGTCATTTCGCAATCGTTTTTTATTGACATTTAGAAAATATCGCAAACGTTTTGCAAAAATCTGTAATGGAAACGCGCCTTCAGATCACTGGCCACATCTCGGCACAGGAACAGTTTCTTCCCACAGGCCATCTCCCTCCTGAACATTTAAACACTTCTCACAGGTCTCTCGCTCGCTCTACGCAGTTTGGAGCACAATCTCTGTCTCGCAAGCATGCTCGCAATAGATTATGGGACATTTTTAACTAATTTGAGGTATAAGTAGTGGATCACAAGTGGCTCAACAGGTAGATCAATAGATAAACTCATCTTTCAGGCATTTGACCGACCCATAACTGTCAACATCGAAGGGAGATTTCTCGTAATCCATCCCCAAAATAAGGTGTTTATTTCACGATTCTTACTCAAAAACTTTCAAAATAAAGCATTAATTAATAGTCTAAACAGTTTATGACCAGCCTACATGTGTGAGAACGAGACGTGTGTGTGAGAGAGAAAGAGTGTCATTAAAAAAATACCATAGAGAATGTTTAGATACTAATATCAGCTTACGAGGAAAACGGGGAGGCTGCTTCTGCTGGAGATGATTGGGACAGGTCTCTGCGCCTTTACCGATCAGAGTGCGCGCTGGCACGGAGTAAAGCCTTGTTTATACTCGACGCGTCTGCACGAGCGTGGTAAAAATGACGCATTGTGTGCTTAAGACCTCACTTCGCTTAGCTATGTGCAAAGCTTTTATTGTAACAGCGTGCGCGGCACTTCAAGCCCACGGGCTCAGCCCGAATGAGTGACGTGGGACCGCCTTCTCGTGGGCTCACCACCAGCAGGAGGAGCCGTAAGGGGCCGGTGCAGAGAGGATCGGGCGGCAGTCGAAGGCAGGGGCCTCGACGACCCAATCCCTGGACACAGAACCTAGATTTAGGGACGTGGAACATCACATCGCTGGTGGGGAAGGAGCCTGAGATTGTGCGTGAGGTTCCGACTAGAGATAGTCGGGATCACCCCTACGCATGTCTTGGGCTCTGGAACCACACTCCTTGAGAGAGGATGGACTCTTCACCACTTTGGAGTTGCCCATGGTGAGAGGCGACGGGCTGGTGTGGGTTTGCTTATAGCCCCCCAGCTCAGCCGCCATGTGTTGGAGTGTACCCCGGTGAACGAGAGTGTCGCTTCCCTGCGCCTACAGGTCGGGGATAGGTCTCTCACTGTCGTGTGTGTCCAATGGGCCAAACACAAGTGGAGAGTACCCGGCCTTCTTGGGAGGAGTGCTGGAAAGCGCCCCGACTGGGGACTCCGTCGTTCTACTGGGGAACTTCAACGCTCACGTGGGCAAAGACAGTGACACCTGAAGGGGCGTGATTGGGAGGAACGGCCACCCCAACCTGAACCCGGGCAGTGTTCAGTTATTGGACTTCTGTGATAGTTACAGTTTGTCCATAACAAACACCTTGTTCAAGCATAAGGGTGTCCACCAGTACACGTGGCCCCAGGACAACCTAGGTTGTAGGTCGATGATCGACTTTGGTCGTTTCATCTGACCTGTGGCCGTATGTCTTGGACACTTGGGTGAAGAGAGGGGCGGAGCTGTCAACTGATCACCACCTGGTGGTGAGTTGGATCCGATTGCAGGGGAGGAGGCTGGACAGACTCGGCAGACCCAAGCGTTCTGTAAGGGTTTGCTGGGAACGTTTGGCCGAATCTCCTGTCAGAGAGATCTTCAACTCCAACCTCTGGCGGAGCCAAGACCAGATCCCGAGGGAGGATGGAGATATTGAGTCTGAGTGGATCATGTTCTCCACCTCCATTGTCGAAGCAGCTGCTCGGAGCTGTGGCTGTAAGGTCTCCGGTGCCTGTCGAGGCGGCAATCCCCAAACCCGGTGGTGGACACCGGAAGTAAAGGATGCCGTCAAGCTGAAGGAAACAGCTGAAGGAAACAGTGCCCTACCAATGCTGTTTACAGTGGGGATGGGCGGCTATTGAGCTCAACTGGGGATGTCGTCGGACAGTGGAAGGAATATTTTCGAGGATCTCTTCAATCCCGCCGACACATCTTCTATTGAGGAAGCAGAGGCTGAGGGCTCAGAGGTGGACTCGTCCACCACCCTAGCTGAGGTCACCGAGGTAGTCAAGAAACTGGCGGGGGTGTCACGAGGACATCCAAAGTTCTTCAAAATAACACATGGAGGACGTTAAATGCCATTTTCATATTTATTTATGTTCTCCCAACTTCGTAAAGTGCAAGGTGCTCACAGGTGAGGTAGCAGGAAAAATTTACAAAAAAAAACAAATAAAAAAAAATAAAGTCAAGATACCAAAAAAACAGCCTTGCATCAGGCCTACTACTTCAATCACAGCAGTCAGTTGATACAGCATTCACTACCAACAGTCTTTACCCTCCTGATCACTTCTTTCTGTGAGAATTTATACCCCTAGGGGCAACCATTTCTCACCAATAATCACATGGGGAAGTAATAAAGATCATGAACAGCTAATAAACATCAATTAAAAATATGTGATCAAGTAACTTCATTTTCTTCACCACACAAAGTTAAATAACAGCACAACTTCACTGAATTTCAACAATAATCAAAAGAAGTTCACATTAACATCCCAATTCCCCTTCCCTTAACACCATACTTGGTATCTCCCACTTCCCATGATGCAACACAGCACAGGTATAAAAAACATAAGAAAAGTCCATTCCAGTCTTTTACCCAATTCAAGATGGCCACCACCCTGTATGCTGCTCCAGGTGACAATCAACAGTCTGCAACAAACGTTAAATGTCCTCAGGGTTAGTGCTCAGGTGGCCAGTCTGAGACACAACAGCACAGTTGTGAATACATTTGTGTGGACAATCCATCTCTCATGTTGCTGGTAC